CTGGCATGTGGTGCTGGGGGATTGAACCGCGGTCCCTGTGCTTTGCTAAGCTTGTTCTAAGTAGGTGCTTTAGACCACTGAGCCATCTCACCAGCCCCACAAATGCATCTTAAAAACATGTCAAAATCATTTATTTTTCTTCTTAATCTACTTTTCCAAGATGTCAGTAAGTACTTCCCTCATCTTTCTTCAACCAGAAATGTAGGCACCATCTTTAAATCTTTTTCTGTTTCATGCATTTCCTGAATTCTGGTTTTATTTCCTGAGAACTGTAATCCATTACTTTCCTTACAGTACAGTCTGCTTTCTGAATTTTACACTAGTTATTAAGTGCTTTAGCCTCCAGTCTTATCCCCCAGTCTAAGCTTTTTCTTCCTATGCAGTATGCAGAATGATCTCTCTCTAGCCCAATAGCACTTGGCCATCATGATAGGACTTGAGTGGAGGAGCTTTACTCAGTTGGCCCTGCAAGATGGATATTATATGGAGGGGTATGATTCGCAACCCCTAGTAATATTCTTTTTAGTTATAACAAACTGTATCATCATGTCTTCTCATATCAAGGAGATATTGAGGGGGTTACACATGAATGGATGAGAGATAAAGTCTTACTTACTTCAACCATTTCTAACAGGTTATAACAAGGCAATTATTCAGTCTTGATAGCTTAATACCTCCAGTCTTCCCTGAATCTGAGTCTGAATCTGAATTTGAATCTGAATCTGAACCTGAATCTGAATCTGAACCTGAATCTGAATCTGAACCTGAATCTGAATCTGAATCAAAGGGAAACTGTTGATGTGATTGTTATACCTCAGGTGTTTTTGTATGGGGGGGAGAGAGCGAGAGCGAGAGCGAGAGTGAGAGCGAGAGCGAGAGCGAGAGAGTGAGAGAGAGAGAGAATGTGTGTGTGTGTTCTTAGTGTTTGGTCTGTTTAATGATAATATCTGAATCTTATCAATTTTTTTCTTTTTTGAGACAAGGTCTCATGTGGTTCATTCTGGTTTTGAACTCACTAAGTAGCCCATACTAGCCTCAAGCTCATGGCAATCCCTCCTGCCTCAGCCCTGAGTAATGGGATTATAGTCATGTGCATCATGCCAGGCCCCTGAATGCCATCAAATTTGTACTTGTTGCTTTGTAGAAATTTCTCAATAACCTTGGGAATAAAGTTGTCCAAGTGGATGAATTCTTTGGAGACCTGAGGATTTATTTACTTTTTAAATTATATTTTATTAATTCAGTTAATACTACATAGTGATGGGGCTTGTTTTGGGAAGTTGGTTTTACATGCATTTAACATATTTTAATTATTTTCAATTCCATCCCCTTCATCCTTTGCCTCTCCATTCCCATTGTTCCACCCTCTCCATCCCTCAAAAGTCTTCCTCCTAGTTTCCTATCATTTCTACTTTATTTTTAATTAATTTATATATAGTTTTAGTTTTCCATGTAAGAGAAAGGCTTCTAGAGTGAGAATTGTCCTCCAAACCCTAGAAAAAGTAAGTCTTGTAGTGGGCCTCAATTTAGCTGTCCAGAGAGTCCTTGCTAAAGCTGTGTGCCTGACTGCAGCATAAGATCACTCACGGCTGTGGCTCCATAGTGCTGGTTGAGACTTGTGGCACGTCCTGATGTGGGTGGGGTGGGAGTGGAGTACATGCAGGTGTTTGTTTGTTTGTTTTGCAAGGACTCTTCTTTAGTACAGCCTACATTTTGTTATAGTTAATGCTCTATAAAACAAGTATTTTTTTAGAAGGCTTGGTGACTTTAGTTGTGTTTCATCCCAGAAGTTATCTATTGCTCTTTAAGTAACCCCTAATAAATTCATTTACTCACCAAATTGGACTTGTCCAAGTCATTTTTTTTTTCCTTTTTTTTTGTGGAACTAGGGGTTGAACTCAGGCCCTTGCTCTTGCCAGGGAAGGGCTTACTGCACTGAGCCATCTCCCCAGGCCAGTCTAAGTAATTTTTTAGATGATTGGTCTGATCTCACTTTGTCCAAATGGATGAATTCTTTGGAGAACTGAGGATTTATTTACTTTTTATTATATTTTATGAATGCAGACATTGCTTTGGAAAATTCACATAACACTTGGTACTCAAACAGCATTTCAGCAGGTACAAAGATGAGTCAGCTAGAGCATCCATAGGGAGTCCCAGCGTGGCCATCCTCCTTCGTGTAGAATGCATTGGTGTGCTTCCTAAAACCAACCAACCAACCAACCAACCAACCAACCAACCAACCAACCAACCAATCAACCAGCCAGACAACCAACCAGCCAACCAACCAACCAACCAACCAAACAAACAAAAAGATTCACCATAGGTTTCTCTCCCCCCACTTTCTCTCCCTTGTTTCCCTCTTCTCTTTGGTCCCCTTCCCATGTTTCTTTATTTCCTATTTTCTACCTTTTCCTTATAATTTGATTTCTGGATGATAAGCCATTCTTCCTGGAGTAAGATAGAACCTTAGTGCTGGTGAACTTTGCATTTTTCTAATAGCCGCTGATACTGAATAGCTTCTCATATATTTATTGTCCATTTTTACTTCTTCTGAGAAGTGTCTGTTCATTACAACTTCCCTTTTTCTTTGTTTGGCTCTTTTATTTTGAGGGATTCTAAGTTTTTGCAGTTCTTTATATACTCTAGCTAATAGTCTCCTGTCTGATGTGTAGCTTGCAACACTTTTTGTCAATTCTGTAGCTTATTTCTTTCCTCTGTTGCTTGTTTCCTTTGTTGTACAAAAGCTTTAAAAAAATATGATCCCTTGGGCCAGCCAGATAGCTTAGTGGACTAAAGCACCTGCTTAGGCAGAGCACAGCAGTTGGGGTTCAATCCCTGGCATGCCCTACAGGCCCTGCCCCTGGGGCATGCTGAGACAGCAATTGATATTGGACGTGGTGGTATGCACCTGTAATCCCAGGATTAGGGAGACTGAAAACAGGAGGATCACTACAAGTCCAATCTATGTAGTGAGACCCTATAGACACTGGAGACACTACAGTGTACTAAATACAAAGAATTTTTTTTGTACTAAATACAAAAAAAAAATAAATAAAAATATGATCCCAATTCTTGGCATTATTTCTTGTGCAATTGGGGTTCTATAGAGAAAGTCCTTGCCTACACCTGTGTCTGCAAGAGTTTTATCTATTTTATATTCCATCAGATTGTTTCAGTTTTAATTTTTAGATCTTTGATCCACTTTGGTTTTTAGTATGTAGTGAGAGATATGGGTGAAAGTTTAGTCTTCTGC